ATCTGAGGTTGGACTGAGGTGATGAAACATTTAATTTGAAGAAAAGTAATAGTAATCAGAAAACAACCTAACATTTTAAACATACTAGGGTAAGTTTTACTCTTTAGTCATAGGAATTCATTCTGATGAGTCCTTAGGAGTCTGAAAACAAGTTTTGTTGTTTCCCAGGAGCATTCTACTAATGAGCTATATCTCCAGCCCTATTTATTTGTTTGTTTGTTTATTTATTTATTTATTTTAAGGCAGGACCTCCCTAAGTTACTGAAGCTGACCTCCAATTTATGATCTCCCTTTGTTAGCCTCCCTCAGTTGCTAGGATTACAGGCATGCACCACCACAGTTAAAAAACAGTTTTAAAGCTGACTGAAATTTAATTCCTTTTGTGAAGGTAATTTATTAATGTCCTTTGAAAATAACCTCACTAGATTAGAAAATTTAAGTATAATAATACCAAGAATTGTCAAAGACGGGGCGGAGGGGGAGAGACGACACACAATCTCACAGATTGCTAGTGGGAGTGTAAATTAGTATAACCATTATGAAACTAATTAAGCATTATATAGCAAAGTAGAAGAAATGCATATTCTATAGCACAGCAATTCTACTCCTACACAAATATAACATGCACTAAAATGCATATATAAGAATATTCCCAGCAGTACTTTCAGAATATCAAAAAGTAGAAAAATCACACCCACACACATACCCCCTCCCATGTCTGTAAACAGTAGAATGGGCAAGCTAAAGCTTATTTGTAAAGTGTAATATATACAACAATGAGCAGTAACTAATATTGCTAAATAGCCAGGCATGGTGGCACACGCCTGTAATCCCAGCAACTTGGGAGGCTGAGGAAGGAGGACTGCAAATTCAATAACAACTCAGTGAGACCCTGTCTCTAAATAAAATACAAAACAGGTCTGGGAACATGACTCAGTGGTTGAGTGTCCCTGAGTTCCCCAGTACCCCATCCCCCAAAAGATCTTGCTATACAAAACATGCAAAAATCCTAAACATATAATGAACAAAGAATTCCATTATGTGAAATTAAAAACTACATTAAATCACTTTTAAGAATTCATAGTTACACTTAAGATAGTATTATATCACAAGTCTATAAATATAAAATATCTTGCACTTGCATTAAGATATGAAGTAGCAACCATGCTTTATCAGACCTATTTTTAATGATAATATTCTAGATTCCAGATGACAACTGAGAAACTTTTAAAAACTGGTTCCAGGTACAACAGTAAGGAAACTCTATTTTCAGGGCAGGGGTGGTGGTGATTGGGGGTCTTTTTATTAATGGAGTGGGCTGAATGTCTCTATGATTTTGTCCAGATAACTGAAGAACCTAACCTAAGGTGTGTGTGCACATGACATGTGCACATGTATGAATTTGGATTTTTAGAAACTTCAGTTCTGATACCAACTTTGGACAGTTTCCCAGTTCACCATGTAGGGTAGGTATGGTAGAGAAATTATTAGCCATACTGGTCTAGAAAAAGTAAAACAATTTTTTTCCCACGTATACAGGGGTAACACACAGTATTAAATATATAAGGTCTTATATTTGAGGATTTGATCACAAAAACTGAAAAAAAATGCACTTATTTTAAATAAAACTATAATAACAAGCAAAAATGTGACTAACATAAGAGTCTGACTATGGTTACTTGGGTGGAGGATGTGATCAAGAAGAGGCACTTAGGGTGGTAGGCACATCAATCACAATTTTATTTCAAATGAGTAGAAATTACACAGGTTTTCTCTTTGTAAAAATCCAGCTATATATGTTGTTTTTCTGCACTTCTGTGTGTATATGTGTGTGTGCATGTTTGTGTACTACACAACACAAATTATATAAAACATCCATGGTTTCTTAAAAACACACACACAACAAGCCCAAGTTTCTCATATTGTAATGACCCAGGAGGGCAGGTCAAGATATATTTGAAATGCAACTTACAGATTGAGAGACTTAGAACTCATCTAAAACACCCCAGGGCAAAGAAATTTTAATAAAAAGCGCATATGCAAAGTAAGAATATGGAAGTCTGCTCCTTTCAAACTATTTGTGCCCCAAAGCCCAAATCTTCATGTGCACTGTCCCAAGGGTAAGGCAATACCCATGATAAAAGTCCATCATTACAGAACACTGCACCCTACATGAAACAAAACAAAAAAGGTTAAATAAATGTAACTACCTTTCAATGTGGACTCTATCCTTCCTCTGGGGAAATATCACTGGGCAGAAAAATAAATATACCAAAAGATGATAAACTGTTTTGGCTTCATCTAAAAAATTTATATCCACTACAAAGAATCAAATAATGGGCATAAAACTACCAGATCAAAATCTTTCATTATGTAATGCCTAAAGTGTTTAACACAATATTTTCATAATGTGTTACAAGATCAAACCACATTCCCTACTCTCACTGATCTAACAATGAAGTAAAAAATCTGAAGGTTAATCACAGTCAAAAACATAAATAATGATAATGGTGGTTCATATAGGGACTATTATTAGAGACTAAAAAGATAAAATGTTTTGCTGACCTGTGGTATTGAAGAGAAGTCACATACCATCTAAGTATATGACTGAAACATAGTATCCAGATTGTAACAAAAGAAACAGTTCTGAGTAATGACATTTAATCTCACTCTGAATTTAGTAGACAAATTCATTTGTAGTACTCATGTACAAAGGAAGATTTAAAAGGAGTTGGCTAAAGTCTACATATTTTAGGAACATAGCTGAACATTTAGCTCGTGCATTTCGAGCTAGCAAATAGAATGGTAGCAAATAGATGGTAGAAAAGTCAGCAAATAGTACAGTTTCTAAATCTAAATAAAATATATTTTCTTTATGGTTCAGAATAATGAACTCAGTTATTTATAATGCAAATAACTATTCTAAAATTTGTCTGAGTTTGGTATTTTTGGCCTTTGCTTCTGCCTCATGAAGGTTTGACAAAATCGGAACACACCATGATATTTGGCAAAATTCATTAAGACAAAGACCAGAGACCAGAATATTCTTTCAGTTTTTCTAGCTCATAGGAAGTCATCTTTATTGTTAATTTTTCATTTATCACCATTATTCATTATTCCACCTATAAATCTCTCATGACCAAAACATGAAATGATAGTTAACACAATACAAAGCTAGAAGCATGCCTCTCCCTTTACCTGCATTATTTTTATTATAACACATGATAGGAATATAAAATGATACTGCTATCCTAGAAGACAATTTTGAGAGTTTCTTACAAAATGAAAACATGACTTCCTATCCCAGAGAAATGAAAAAAATTCACCAAAAATTATATATGAATGTTCCTAGCAGTTTCATTCATGATAGTCAAAAGCTGGAAACAACCCAGCTGATCTTCAATAAGTCACTTGTTAAAACTGTGGTGCATCCATATAATGGAACACTACCCAGAAATAAAAAGGTAAGAAACTATTTGATACATACAGTTACTTCCCTAGATCTCAGAGAATTATGTTGAGTACAACATGCCTAACTCAAAAGGCTACATACTATAAGATTCCACTTAAACTGTTCTTGAAATGCAAAATTACAAAGAGGAAACAAATATTGACTTGCTTCTTCTGATGGATAATAAATTACTTAACAATGGAATAACTTTGATCACTACAGGTCTTCATATGATTCTGAAATGTCTTATTAGAACTACCTCTACCCCAAATCAAATCAGTCAACAAACAATTTTCCACAAATTCACATTTATCCTTTAAATTCTACCACTCAAATTCTGACTTCTATATAAACAGCAAAGACATTATATAAACTGATAGAAATGAAGACTACCGCTCATATGGTTGCTCCATACACTCAGTGAAACAAAACCTCCATTGTATCAAGATCCCTACTAAATCCTACACACAGTAAAGCTTAAGAGGCACTGCTTTAGATAAAAGACTTTAAAGACTTGCTTTAGACTGATGAAATCTTTCAATCAGTAGCATTTTTACTTTTTAGTTTAATTTACCTAAAAAAGCACATGTTATTTTACTCACATCTTATCTTCAAATTATCTAAGTTAATTAATCCCCATATATATTTAATTAATACCTTAAGTATTGAGAAAATAACCCTTGAAAAAAGAGAAAAGGCCTAAATCAAATACAGGTTGAGTTACTCAAGGCTACCTAGTTGACTGACACAAATCTCACCTTGATTCCTGCACTCTTCTCTCAGTCAACTATTTTTGTGACACTGCAACCTTGCTAAATCCTTAATGCCATATACTTCTGATTCTCAAACTGCCTCTGCTTATACCTAGACACATGAATATAGACAGAAAATAATCCTAAACACAAATCAGGAAAGTACTGATTTCCTGTAGTATCATAAGGAATTAAGTCTTAAGTACCTCTGCCAGAAACTCTGGCATCAACAGAGTAATGATCACAAACAGGTGCACTCAAGAACTACAACTGTCTCAGACTCTGGTTACAAAAACATTACTAAATGTATGCAAGACAGATGTTTTCAACTTTATCTCCTCTGCTTCTCCTGGAAAATGGAACTGCGGGTATATATAATAACGTAGCAATTTGTAACATCCTAATGGATCAAATAAAGTGATCAACAGAAGAAAAACATCCAAGACAATATTTTATCCATACCTAATATAAACAGAGAGCTAAAACAGATTTATATTCCATTTAACAACAGATTTATATTCCATTTAAAAAAAAAATCAATCATATTGATGTAATTATTTTCAAGGAACGCATGCTCAGACAATGTAAATTTAGCAAAAATATTTGCCTGAAAGTTACCATTTTAGAATTATCCAAAAGGCACTTTCATTTTCTCTCTTAATTAGAAAATAAAATAACTAGAATTACTTTTAATAGTCTATCAAAACAACCTCAGGATTTCATTTAAAGGAGAAGAGTACAGGCACTAATATACAATTACATTACATTTAGTCTAAGTATTAAAAGCTTATACTTACTTTCTGAATGAATTTCTCAACACTCTGTACCACATGTTTATAGAACTGAAAGAGGGAGAAAAAAGGTACAGTATTAAAATCACTTTTAATAAAAGAATTTCCTGCCAACCACAGGATTTAACATGGCTCAAAAGGCCCATCAAAACAATTAATTTTTTTTAATTGGTTGTTCAAAACATTACAAAGCTCTTGACATATCATATTTCATACATTAGATTCAAGTGGGTTATGAACCCCCATTTTTACCCCAAATACAGATTGCAGAATCACATCGGTTACACATCCACATTTTTACGTAATGCCATATTAGTAACTGTTGTATTCTGCTACCTTTCCTATGCTCTACTATCCCATCCCCTCCCATCTTCTCTCTCTACCCCATCTACTGTAATTCATTTCTCTCCTTGTTTTTTTTTCCATTCCCCTCACAACCTCTTATATGTAATTTTGTATAACAATGAGGGTCTCCTTCCATTTCCATGCAATTTCCCTTTTCTCTCCCTTTCCCTCCCACCTCATGTCTCTGTTTAATGTTAATCTTTTCTTCCTGCTCTTCCTCCCTGGCTCTGTCCTTAGTTGCTCTCATTATATCAAAGAAGACATTTGGTATTTGTTTTTTAGGGATTAGCTAGCTTCACTAAGCATAATCTGCTCTAGTGCCATCCATTTCTCTGCAAATTCCATGATTTTGTCATTTTTTAGTGCTGCGTAATACTCCATGGTGTATAAATGCCACATTTTTTTATCCATTCATCTACTGAAGGGCATCTGGGTTGGTTCCACAGTCTAGCAATTGTGAATTGTGCTGCTATGAACATCGATGTGGCAGTATCCCTGTAGTATGCTCTTTTAAGGTCTTCAGAGAATCAAAACTTCAAGATAAGCATTCACACCACTCACCTTTTACAACCAACTAGCTGGCTATGTAATTTCTTAAGTGATTCTTCAGTAGATACATTGTCAGCATGTCTAAAATGTGTTATTTCATGTAGATATAAAAGAATACTATTAAAGTCTTTTGTAAATATGTATTTTTTTAGTTGCAGATGGACACAATAACTTTATTTTGTTTATCCATTTTTATGTGGTGCTGAGGATTGAACCCAGTGCCCCACATGTACAAGGCAAGGGCTCTACCGCTAAGCCACAGAACTGGCCCCCTATTAAAGTCTTTATGGAAACATTCTTTGACAAACTTGTGTTGACAGCAAAATATTATGATATATAAAATGGGAGATGTATTACTTTCAAGGAAGGAAAAGAACAGGTATCCATAATTATCAGCTAAAGCAAGGCTAGTACTATAAAAATCAATTACCCATCAACCTAGAACATTAGCAAATCATGTGAGAGAGCTGTTTTCAACTTTATTATCTCCTGCTTCCAGAAAATGAACTACAGGAACATTTAAGATGTAGAGATGTATAATGTTCTAATGGATCATACAAAATTAACTAAAAATAGAAGTAAACACAAGGATTAAAAATTAATAATGGTATACTATTAATTATGAGAAAACACATTTTTATAAAAATACTAAGCATAAACCTATAAATAAATAGAATTTCTAAATTTATAATTTAGAAATAATATTTATAACTATAAATTATAATTTAGAAATAATTATAAATTTAACAAAAAAGAATCTAGAATTTACGTTTAATAAATTTTAATGCCATGGTTGGCATAATGCTGTTTGAAAAATTAACCTGAATAATGAATTATGTTTTATAAAGGACACCTCCTTAGACTAAAAAGACATGAGAACTAAAGTCAATGCTATTTTATGTATGCACTATGTAGTATATTAGGTAGCAGTATTTTATCAAAGTGAAATTTCTTTCACATGATTCTTATACTGCAATTGCTTAGGAGAACGTCTTTGTTCTTGGAGATGTAAATTCAAGTACATAAAGATTAATAATCACTATTATGAATGAAGTTTGAAACTATCAAATGAATCCACCAGAAAAAAATGACAAAAAGTGTGTATGCACATGCATATGTGTAGAAATAATGCAAATGTAGCCAATGTTAGTAATTGTGAATTTAAGGGAAGAATATTTGATGCTCATTGCAATATTTTCCAACTTTAATTTTTCAAAATTAAAATCATTGGCACAAATTAGCACTGTTCATAAAAACAAAGAAACTCCTGATTGACAGACACCTAGATTCAAATTTCAGCAAATTACTTAATTTCTTATATCTTTCTGACATCAGAAAATAGAAAATACGGTTAGCACCCATACTTAACTGAATCCTTTAATTAAAAAAGTATTCTGGGGCTGGGGATGTAGCTCAAGCAGTAGCGCGCTCGCCTGGCATGCATGCGGCCCGGGTTCGAGCCTCAGCACCACATACAAAGATGTTGTGTCCACCGAAAAACTAAAAAATAAGTATTAAAAAAATTCTCTCTCTCTAAAAAAGAAAATTGTTGATGGACCTTTATTTAAAAAAAAAGTATTCTGCTCAGGAAAGTTACATAAATACACCAACTTCTAACTTTTACAGAATAAAAATGACAACACACGTTTACATATTCACAGGATTGTGATCGTAAAAATCATTATAATAGAAAATAGTATAGATAAAGTGCAAGACACTCAATTTCTTCTATATACTAAGCCTATCAGATGGGAGCAGAGCAAATTACTTCCTTGAAAAATGTGGTAACTGTCCTTATCCTGTCTTTGATTTTCCCTATTTAAGTATAGAGAATTTGATTTTCCCTATTTAAGTATAGAGATTTTAACTATAATGATGTTTAAGATATTAACTACAAATCTGAAAACTAAATTTTAGCTATAAGAAAACTGCAAAATCAACCATTATCTGAATTTATCTCAGTAGCAACTATTAGTAAATAGAAATTTGTTAAATGTTATATACAGTTATTAGAAGATAATTTATATAGTTGGTACTTCTAGTTATGATGTTTTAATTCATAATAGGAAAACATTCACAAAATATTCACAGGTTAATATCTACTTAATTAAAAATAGGCATTCAGCCCTCCTAAATAAAGCACGGAATCTTAGCTGTGGGGACAAGAACTTCTTGGAAAGATGTCTGTGGTTGAGCTTCAAAGGTCCTTTAGCCAAGAAATTTTATATACTTTTTTTTAAAATTTATATCCATGTTCTAGAGAAATATACATGTTTTTCCTGAACACAGGTTCAAAACCTATCTAAAACCTGTCTCTGTGTTCCCTTTCCATAGTTCAAGTATCTTACATACAACAAGGCCTAATTATTTTCCACGGTGGTCCATTTTTAAATCTATACAGAATCAATAAGGTGTTATTTTCATTTAGAAGTCTTCTACTAATTTGTATTTAAGATTCTGCAATGTCGGTGTGACAAATGACAATTTAAAATCTCCATGATGTGGCTAATGTCCAAAATATCACCTGCCTAAGAAAAGGAAAAATATTTACTTCAAAGCTTATGGAAGGATAAATATCAAAATTTTAAGTGTTTATGAGGGAGGGTTTACAAGTAATACACTTTTTTTCTTTTACACACTATACATATATTAATTCTTCACATGAGAAAATACATAAAAATTATTTCTCCTTCAAAATACTAGGATGGTATTTTCTTTTGAAAACATAAGAGTAAAATTTATTACTCACCTTAATAGCTTTGATGGCCGCTTTTGTAATCTGGGTCATTTTTGCTTTAGAAATGGGTGGTTTGTAGTCATTCAAGGAATACAACTGATAAAAAAAAAAAAAGAATAAATTTTAAATACAGCAAAACTAATTGTTCCCAAGCAATAATATGAAATTACCAACATTTCCATTTTTATATTCTCAATGAAATCAAAGTGCGGCTTTTCTTTTAAAAATCAGGCTCAAAATCTTTAGTCAGCACAGAAACACATCAAAATCACAATGAACTATCACTTGGTAGTTGCTTAGATATTACACATTGCTGGTGGAAATGTAAAATTCTCCAATAGTTTTTATGAAACAGTTTGGTAGTTTCTTGAAAAAATTTTAAAGTTATCGAATGATCCAATTTCACTCCAAGGTATCTGCCCCAAAGAGCTAAAAACAAATGTTCACATAAAAACTTCTACATGGATAATCATATAAATAAAATTCATTAAAATTCCATTTGAAAAGCAGAAAGAGCCCAAATATTCATCATCTGATGAATAAACAAAATGTTTTATCTGTTCAATGAAATTTTAGTGATAAAAAGGAATACTGAGGGACTGGGGCTGTAGCTCAGTTGGTAGAGTGCTTGCCTACCACATGTGCGGCACTGGGTTTGATCCCCAGCACCACATAAAAATAAAATAAAGGTACTGTGTCCATCTACTAAAAGGAATATTGAGGGCTTGTGTTGCAGCTCAGTGGAAGAGCACTTGTCTAGCATGTATATGAGGTACTGGGTTCAGTTCTCAGCACCACATATAAATAAATAAAATAAAGATCCTTTGACAACTAAAAATATGTTTTTTTAAAAAAGGGAACACTGATAAATGCTACAAAATGTATGAAGCTTAGAAACATTTTGCTAAGTTAAACAAGAAAAATGATGAATTAATGATAAGAGTTTCTTTGGAAGTGAAGAAATACTTTAAAGTTAATTGTGGTAATGTTTGCACAACTTTGTGAATATAGCAAAACCACTGAATTGTACACTTCAAATTGGTTGATTTTATGGTATACCATTTCTTTTTAATCAGGGGATCTAAAGTTTAACAAGAATTCTCCCTCCAAAAAATCTTTATTTTGAAATTTCTTACATAAGCAAAGGGTAAAAATAGTGCTTAGAAAGAAAGCAGTTAAAGACATGTTAGAGAAATTAGGCAACAAGTAACTATGAATAAATGAATACTGATTAAAACTTTTGAATCTGGGGGAGTGGAGCATGCCTAGAATTCCCAGTGCCTCTTGGATGCTGAGGAAGGCGAGATCCTGTCTCAAAATTTAAAAAAGGACCGGAATGTAGCTCAGTGGTAAAGCATCCCTGAGTTTAATTTCCACTCAAAAAAATTATTTTTCCACTGTACACAGTGATGATAACATTTTTAACTATAATTGGCATAATAATTTAGAAGCCTAGAAACGGCTTTAACCATTAAAACACTGCAAAACCACTTGAACAGACTTCAAATTCTATTCACTTTCACCTCTTTTATATGTGGAATCTGTTGTTTTCCCCATAATTTGTCTCTTCTTCCTCCCCTGGTCACCACCTCCATGACAACAGTCCAAGTTACCTTCATCATCCACCTGGACAACACCTAAATGGATATGTTGTCAACACATTTACAACTCTTTTAAAAACTATCTTGATCAGATGACTGACACTCAAAACTACTCCCAACACCCCTTAATATGGCCAATCACTTCTCTTCAGATACATGATTTAAAAAAAAAAAAAAGCCTGCATATATAAAGCCCTGCCTGGTCCAACTCCTGTGTCTATTTCCAGCCTCAGTTTATACCATGCTCATTGGCCCTTCCCTGCTCCTGGAACAAATGATCTCCCCCACCTCCAGGGTTGAGTTCCCTGGGCCCCAAATCAAGAGGCTTGTTCCCTCTATGTAGACACATGTCACCATGGCTTCCCCAGTAGTTATCTTTCAGACAGGTAGCAGACAGACAAGTGATGAAAACATAAGGTTAAGGGGAAAATTCTATAGAATGAACTTATGTACTGACCCTCATATGCTTTCTTTTACAATTTACTTGAAAAAACTCTGGCGCTGCGTAGCTTAAGCCAACAGGATATGCTACATTTATCAACAAACAACCTTCTATCTGCAAAAGAAAGACTCCTCCCTGATGATAAGAACACACATTACTCTGAAAGGGGTACCTGTGTAACCTTTACACAGACCAGATTACAGGACTCAGGCAGATAGAATAATTAGAAGCAAAGCCCCCAATCAAAAAATCTGTAGAACCAAGTTCTAATCAAAATCAGTAAGCATGGCCAAGGTGACTCAAGAGTTGCCTTAGATATTTAGTATGTCATTATAACAGTAAATCTCCCCTCCATGGGGTAGGGGTAAGACCATGTGCAGTGGGACTTCAAAGTCTTATGCAATCCTGCTGCGACTCAAAAGTCAAGGGGTGGACCTTGGTGGGACTCTTTGAAAACTTCCCTGGAACTCCCCAATAAAACAGGAGGGCAGGAGGGGCCTCTTTTCTGTGAGGACCCACTCTCTCCCTTTTTCCCTTAAGAGTGTTCCTTCTTTCCTTTTCCTTTCCCTAGTAATAAACTCCTGCCTGCAACTACATGCAACCTGTCTGAAAATCTCTATAGCATGAATGCAAAGAACCAGTGACCAAGGATCTCTGTTATTGCTTTGGCTCTACTGATGGCCTTGCACTGGAACATTTCTTAAAGCATCATCTAATGAGGAAAGGGTCTCCTACCTCTCCAATAAGATTAAGACAAGACTCTCCTCTTTATGGGCTCACTGCCCTGCCACTTACTTTTGAAGCATTCACTGCAGTAATCTGACATTTACTTGTATGATTAATACTTGATTTTTAAAAAAGGACTGCCACAAGGGTGATGGTAACTGATACCAATCAACAAAGGGTGTTAAGTTTCTTAAAAGCAATTTAAGTTTACCAAGGGGTAAATATATAGCATTTACTGTGCAAATTAGAATCAATTCTAGTACAAGCAAAACCATCCTTCGCCCTTTAATTTCCTGTAGAGGGATCCACCTGCTAATGATATTTCCTAAGATTATATTCTGACAGGTACTTTCTAAGAACTCTTAAGCTAAGATACTTAAGATCTTACACTACCCATTAAACCAAATACCTATATCAAACAAGGAATTTTAACATAATTGTATATACTTTTTACTATACTTTAATATACTATATTCCTACCTATTTTAGAAAATGTACTTATATGCCAGTATATTCATTTCTCCAAATTTCTATGTTCTATATAGACTACTGTCAGTAAATCCTAAGCATCAAACTCATTCCTCTAGGACTTCTAACAACGAACATCTGCTGAGAATTTTGTAAATGTCACTATAACATTCAGTAGTTTAAGAAAAGAATAAAGTCTGGGGTTGTAGCTCAGTGGTAGAGTGCTTGCCAAGCACATGTGAGGCACTAGGTTCAATCCTCAGCACTATATATATAAAGGTATTATGTCCATCTACAACTAAAATTTTTTTAAATAAAGAAAAGAATGAACATAAGGGCTGGGAATATAGCTCAGAGGGTAGAGTGCTTGTGTAGCATGCCAAGGCTCTGGGTTCGTTCCCAGCACTGAAGAAGAAGAAATGATAAATCTATAGTGATGGAATGCTGCCAGCGAATTAGAGGCTTTTAACAGACTTCCACAATAATTCCCCATACATGAATAGACAAACTATCTTTAGATCCACAAGATATGATACAATGACTGTATACAGCAAGCATTCACTAATAAATATTATTCAACAGGTAACTTATTTACACTGTATAACAATGCTTATTATTAAAACTGCCAAGTTTCATTCAAACTCCAGCCCTCATCAAATATGTAAACAATCCACAAAGAATCAGAAATAAAATTATCTCCATTTTCTCAAAATCTGAATCAGGACACACAAAACATCAGGGTTTTAACAGTGGGAAATGCTGGAGAAGAATTAAAATTGATTCTGGGACCATACTTTTGTTTTGCCTTATGATTCCACTTCTATGCTTAGGTCAGAAGAACACAGCTGCATGCTCTCTAGGCTTGGGCTCTCCAACTGGGGTAAATAGTTTTCCCTGCTGGTGTGTCTTCCAAAACCTCAAGTGGCTATTTACCCCAGTTCAGTTTGTTATATTAAGTTCTTCCTCAGTTAAAACTACCGTGATTTTTCTAGATCCCCTGGTACTTGCTGTGCACCAGATTGAACTCTGCTTCCCAAACTTAAGCTTCTTCCCCTTATATACCATGTGCTAATATTATCTAATCTAAGGTTACAAATGCCTTTACTTACACAAACTCACTACATTCATCTGACCTCAGAATAACCTAAGCTGTCCTTCTTCCTTTGGTCACCAACACATCATTTCAACAGAAAGGTACAAAATAAAAGCTCTCGCTCTAATTAATTCAGTTCTCCTTGTATACACTGAATAATCCTCCTTAAATTTGTAACTTACTTTTTTATGCTGCTAAAAGGAGGACTTTTAATGTACACGCTTGCTAGACAAGTGTTCTACCACTGAGCTAAATTCCCGACCCTAATCTTGTAAAAGGCTTTTAATTTCTATGTTACCACTTGTGATACCAGAGCAAATGCATATTTTTAACCTGTAAACTCTTTCAAGTCCAATTAGCTTCTAATGACTTTAAACAAGATTTGAGGAATCTTTTACCTAAGCTAAAATATGTTAGCTCAGTTGCTGCTTCTGGCTACTCCACCACAAAATTTCTACTAATGACCTTAAACGCCACTTAATATAAATTAGGCCAGGAGTCCGTAAACATTTTCTGTAATGGGTTAGCAAATATTTTAGGTTTCGTGAGTGTAATCATTTGGATGTGGTTTGTCCCCATACTAAAAGTTTGGCTGCTAGTGTGGTGGTGGGCTTTAAGAGGGAGAGTCTATGTGGAGGTCCTTGGAACACCAGGGAAGCTACTCTCAGAAGAGAATAAGGTATTTCTCTTGCAATACTCTGGTAGTTCTCCCAGGAGGATTGAAGGACTGTTATACAAGCCTGAGCCTGGCCCCACACAGCTCTCT